CAAAGTCAAAGTCCACAGTCAAAGTCAACAGTCCATGTTGACTCGACTCGTCGAGTGTAGTTCACCGACTCGTCGAGTCCTTCCTGAACTCGAGAAGTCGTGAAATCCTTGGTTGGCTCGTCGAGTTTCCTTTAACTCGCCGAGTCCATGCGTGTCCAAAGTTCGGGAGAAACCCTATCCGACTCGCCGAGTCATTTGGCTGACTCGCCGAGTCCAAGGCTACCTTCATCTGACTCGCCGAGTTGTTCATCCAACTCGTCGAGTACATGACTGTCTTCATATGACTCGCCGAGTCGTTCATACAACTCGCCGAGTCTCTTCTATCCTTTATTCATACAGACGATTTGAAGCCATGCTAAGGCTCCAAATTGTAGATCCAGCTTCCCAATGCCCGTTTTATCACGTAAAGTTGCAAACTTTACGTGCATACAAGGCTCTAATGACCCATAATGCCAAATCTAAACTTGAAATGGGGTTTAACTCAAAAGGAAGGGTTCATACTTGCTAAGACTGTAAGCTTTATGGACCTAAAGACCAAGGAGGGTTCAGATCTGAAGTTGCAACTTCAGATCTTAGCTCATACCCAAGAATAGCTTCATAACATGATGAAAAGCCCTAAACTTCAACCCAAAGGAGATCTAGAAGGAAAGAAGGTCAAGGTAACGACTTGATACCTTCAAATGGTGCTATCTGAGGTAGATTTCAGGTCCACACAAGCTCCTTGTTGCTAGCTACTTGATCTTCAAGCTCCCTTTTCCAAGAATCTTCTTCCCAAGGCTTGAAACACACAATGGAGCACACACACACGTATTAGGGTTTGAGAGGGACAAGAAGCAGTAAAGGGGAGGCTGGGGGAGGCCAATGATCCTTTAAATAGGGTGCAATACCCCGAGATTTAGGGTTTCATCCTCCAGCTCCTACTCGTCGAGTCCCTTATTGGACTCGGCGAGTAGGTCACTAAAACGCGCGACCCAACCCGCTGCTACTCGACGAGTAGGGCAACCAACTCGTCGAGTAGACCTTGAAAACAAGAAAATTCTTATATAAAATCGATACCTGAAAAATCGGGGCGTTACAAAAACAATACTTTACTAAGTGTTTAAATGTATCAAACATATTTATTTTAACTTTATTAAAATAACAAATCACTAAGTTTGACTTTTATTTGACGGATTTGACTTGAGTTGACTTTTGTTGACTTTTACAATATAGAAAATAACGGGATGTTACACCATCTTCTTGAATGGGAGTGAGAACAGGGACATGGGGTCCTTCTTCCACAGCCCTCCATACATCTCTACCGAGCCTCTTGAGATACATTTCCATTCTCTGAGACCAATGGTGGTATTCATTTGCAACAAGTATTGGAGCTCTGTTCGAGCCTCCAACACTGTTGGTAACGTGATAAAGCTTGTGCCATATTTCCTTTGTTTTTATTTTATTTTCAAGAATGAGCTTCAGTGGTATAAAAGGCATTTTAAAAAATCAGGTTTTTGTTTAAAAAACAACCACTTTGGCTCTGATACCAATTGTTGAGAGAAAAACTTTGAGGAGCACTTGAACAAACGTTAGTACAAGATAATAAGTTGCGGGATAAGTTAATCTCAAGGATCTCGATAGCTCAACAATAATAAGTTAGGAATGTTAGATTGACGGAAATGTAAAGGAAATATAAATGACAACAAGTTATATCAAGTAGTCAGCAAGTTGATTCATAACAAGGTTTGTAGTCAAACACAAGTTAGTAAATGCGAACAACTTAAGGTGAAGAGGAACTCGGTTTATCAGAAGATAATAGATAGAGATGATCTTTGTATTGCAATAACAATTCAGAAAGATCGTGAAGGTGTATCAATACATAAAGTGGGATACTCTATTTATAGAGTCCCTGAAAGTTACATATCGAAATAAAAAACTATTAAACTACTGACTTCAGTGACCATCAAAGGTTCACTGGATAATACAAAGTAAACACGCTAATTCAGTAATATAACAAAACAAATCTTCATGCAATCTCTATTTATGCGGTAGTTGTTGCGGTTGCGGTTCATAAGAATATTCTCCAACTTCGGTAGCTAACTTCTTGTACGATATTACCAACACTCCAGACTGCGGTTCCTTAGCTAAAGAGGGTCATTTTTTGTATCAACAATGTGGATATTATGTCTGATTCAACGATATATTTTTCAAAGATGTATGTTTACCTGAAGGGTGTCAATGATGGTTGGTTTGAAGGGTGAAGAAGGGTGATTGCTATAGATGGATGTTTTATGAAGGGTATTTATAGGCGTTAGCTACTTAGCTGTTGTCAGGAACTCCAACAACCAAATATACCCTCTAGCATGGGTTGTAGTTGTTGTTGAAAATAAGAAAACTTGGAAATGGTTTGTAGATCTATTACTTGATGACATTGAAATGGGACATGGTAAAGGACTAACAATAACTTCTAACCAGCACAAGCATAAGGTATGTTATTTAACTACCGCTAACTAATTTTTAAATACTATTTCATTAAATATTTTAATATGTATCTTGATGACATTAAAATGTTTTAATATTTATCTTGTGGTGTTTGATTGAGGCGTTTAAGAAAAAGAGTATCAAAATGCAAGCTTATGTAATATGTTGGGCACATCTATGTCAACTTTAGGAAAAAAAATTCACATGTGTTGAGTATATGAAGCTATTTTGGATTGCTGCAAAGGAAACAATTAGCCAAATATTTGAAGTTGTAATGAAGGAAATTAGGTTAATCGACAAAAATGCTTATTATCACTTGTTGGGGAAAATATCCAAAAACATGGTGTATGACATTCCTTTTAAAGAAGATTGGTGTTGTGATGCCATAGAAAATGGTATATCTTAATCCTTTAATGCAACAATTTTAAAGGATAAGAAGACTCATAATAACAATGTTGGAAGAAATCATAGTGTATTGTATATCATATAGATTATGGTATTGATTTCAAGAACAAATCCTTTCAAAAAAATTAGATTTCTATATGTGTTTATTTGTGTGTGTGTCTTAGTGTTCATGAGCCCTACTTTACGGTTTTGTGTTTTCTTCTTGACCTCAAATATTAGTCTTCGACAGAAAATTCATAACGTTCACAAGAAAATTCATATTGACGGCTAAATCTACGAGGAGAAAAAACCTTAAATGGCTAAATATATACACGGAACAAAGTTCGTTACCCTTTAAATCATTATCCGGTCCTATAAAAATTAGATAGAACCCTAAGGATGTACTCCATCTTTTCACTATCATTGCCGTTTGGATTAAAATAAATAAATAAATAAAAATAAACCATCCCAAGTTGGTGGATTAGACCATCTGCAGCGCTTCTTTCAAATTCCTTGCAATGCCATTTGTACCAACTTTAATTGACACGTCCACTTACCTCTTTCAACTTTTGAAAGCCTTGCAAAAGAATAGTGGCTCACATTTCTTAATAATTAATTATTTACCTCTTGTAATATATCTGAAGCTATACGGAATGGTTTTGTGATTCTTATCCATAGGAGATGGCCACATCAGCCTACCTCACCTCCATTAACATTTTAACAGCATTTAGAAAATGATATACTCACCGATGGAAGAGGGAGATAGAGTGAAGAAGAAGAGTAAGATAGAGAGAGGAAAGAATGAGAGAGATTGTGAGCAATCGTGAAGCTGGCTACGGAGAGTCACACTTACACACATTAGGGAGGAGGGAGTCATTCCCTCCCAATCCACTGAACCCACTGTCACATCACTTTATCTCTTTTATTTTTCTTCATCTTTCCCAACCCACAACACACGGAAATCATATCTTTCTCAACCCACTCAATTAAAAAAATATACAAAACAACTAAGGTACAAGTTTTAAAACACATGGTACAAGAGAAAATGAGAGAGAGATGATGAAGTGGGTTGGTGAAACCAATTAAACAACCCGCTGAAGTTGGAGTGGTACCGACGGTAACTCTATTGCTAAATAAAATTTTACCTTGATTGTTTTGTATTTTTTTTAATTGAATGGGTTGGGTGGGTTCAAAAAGATAGGGTTTCCGTTGTGTTGTGGGTTGGAAAAGATGAAAATTTTTGAAAGAGATAAAGTGATGTGGCAGTGAGTTCAATGGGTTGGAAGGAAATGACTCCCTCCTCCCTTGGGGGTGGTGTTTGAGAGAAAGTCACACGTGACTTGTGGTGCCAACTCAGATTACGCGTATGTTTTACCACCCACTCCATACAGTCTTATGAACTTCTGAAAACCTTACAAAAGACCAGTGGCCCACCCTTTGTTTTACAAGAATTTATTAATTATGCTTAGTTGGCTTTCAATATTGATACAAGTAGCATTTTTTGCAAGGTACTAAAATTACGCAGGTATGGATGCTCTTATATTCAATGATTAACGAGTACTCGATTGGTTTGAGGTGGGGTGAAACCAAAGTGCAATGATTAGAAAACAAAGGATAAATGAATCATTGTTGAGTGTAGAAGATTAGATAGATGCTAGCTTAATTCTCATATATCAAACTGATGTGGAATGATTAGAAAAATATAGCCAATACATTCCGATCACAATTCATATAGATATCAACTTTAAGAAGTTTATATGAAACGATTTTCCTGTTATAATGATCGTGCAATCCTTTGTCATATTATTTACTCTTATATGATTGTGGTCACCTATTTCTATCATATATATTTCATCTAACTTTTTAGACAGATGACAAGTGGCAACAAGATCAAAAATTTTGTTTGCACTTTGCACGTTCATAAAAGTTTCACTCAACATCGTCATCGTATGCATGCAACCCTTTGATCAAATGCCTTGGGCTCTCCTCTCCTCTTAAATATATAATAATAATAATAGTTAGACAATTTGTATATACATGTATAAATAATATAACAAACTATATATATTTATTAACTAATTACCTTCAAGTTCTTTGGTTACACATTAATGCTCCCATTGTTTCTGATAAATGGAAACCACATTTAAATTGAAGACTTACTTTTGGATATTAGATTTAGCCATGTAGTCTTGATAACAACTAAAACTTTCTTTGAAATTGGAATATTGTCTCTTAAGTAACTTGTACGACTTCATTTCTTTTGGCCCAAAACTCGTAACTTCTTCATCAAATTTAAATTTCAAAGGGCAACTCGAGTCAAAAATCTCTTTCACATCCTTTTGACCAAATTTAAAAACAACTTTCGTATGCTTCTCATCCTCAAACACAGAATACTCCATTTTCAACTTATAAGACCCAAACATTTCTTGATTCTGAGAACCATATAACACATCTTCATTATCATCAGCAAGTGAAACAGCAGTGACATTAAATGTTTCGGATTCTGATTCTGATGCAATGACTTCATTAGCAACCTTCATTACTTCATCACACTCTCTATCGATTTCAATATCAGCAGACATGTTATCAGCTTTTAACATGTGGGTTTTATGAAAAGTTAGCAAAAATGGGATTGGAACAACGGGTCCCACTAAAGAAGTACTGGGCTTTTTCTTGTCTGACCACTTACTACTTCGAAATGAAGGAGATCGAAAGAAAAAAGGAGGTAGATGAGATTGATGACATGGAACTTCCAAAAACTCTAAAGGTAAATGTTTTAGTTTCATGGGTAAATCTGGCAGATTTGAATAAGTAGAGAACCCAAATCGTAAATATTTCTTGGGTAGATTTGCCCACATCCTTCTTAAAGCAATCTCATGTATGCTAGTTGGCAAGCTAACATCACGAAACACATCATGAATATTTAAAGATCCACCACAACTAAAAGTCTTAATCTTTTGGCATATAACTTCATGAAAATCATCACCAAAAGAGAGGTTTTTTTGGGTTTCTTTATTCAGGTTCTTAACTAGTTCTCTACTCAAGATTCTGGAAAGATCAGATTTCAAGTATCCATCAAGCCAATCAAGTTTCAAATACTGAAATTGCTTTTTAAACTTGTAATCCTCTTCACCTGTTTCATACAGAAAAGAATCTTCTAAATCCAGAGAGTGTTTTTCATGCCCATTTTCTGAAGCTTGTGTAGAATAATCCCATGAAGCACAATATCTATGTGATTCAAGATTCCCTGAGGACGTTAATGTAATTAGAGTAAACCCACCAAACCCATCAGGTTCAAACAACTGAGAAGAGATTTCACTATCAAGAATCCCAAACCCTAAAACAAATTCTTTCTTTTGTTGCCAATTGATCCAACTAGGAAGCCTATCCTTAGAGAATTCCTCTTTCACAATGCAACTACCACAACGACATTCATTAGGGAGTAGAGAAAGATCAGAAGGGAGTCCCCATGCATAAAAAGAATCACCAGAAGAAGAAGAAGAAGGTGTTCTAACATCTGGTCCATAGCAAAAAAGACTAAATTCACAGTTCCAAAAAGACCCTAATAAAACGGCGTAACCTGATTCAGAAGCCCAATTGTATGTAGTATCCTCAGATTGTGACCTAAATTTGGATAAACTTGAAACAATAATGTAGCTTGGGTTAGCAAGATAATGTGTCCAACGTAGAAGTGGAATCATCGGTTTTCTTATATCACAAAGGAAAACTGTGTGAGTGGATGCCAATGTGAAATGGAAACGATGAGGGGCAGAAATGGAAAATGCAAGAAATCTATCACTCGTTGCATGCTCGATGCCAAGTTTCAATAAAGGAATGATAGTGCAGTTTTCGGGGCGTGAATCAACAAGAAAAACTAGAGTAGAGTGAGCAACAATCAGAACTCTTGGATGCCAACTGAAATCACAGCTCAACCATCCACCTTTCTCAGAAACAGTAGACTCATCCCATGAAACTTTGACTTTTTCACATGTTAACTTTGGAGATGGTAGTGAGGGTCTAGAGGAAGAATCCAAATCAAATAAGAACAAATCACCATTATCTAGCAATACAAGACTTTCTTCAGGTAAATGTGGACTCCAACAAGCATGCACAACTACAGATCTTTTGAACAAGTTATCAGCAACTAATTTCAACAATGGTGTTACTTTACCAGAATTCTCCATTGTGATTCTAATATCATAGTAATGAACTGAATACATCGTTGAAACCAACAAATACCCAATGGTGGTAGAATCACCTGAAACAAATAGCCAAGTGGGATCAGCAATTTCTCACAACTCAAAAGTCAAAACCTAAACCAATAATTTACTTTTCTTTCAGGTGAAAGGTTTATATAATCTAGTGTCCAATTGATAAAACACAATAACTACCTGGATTACAATCACAATCAACAAGAGGGCTAACTGAAATCTTGACAATGCGATGATTCAATGCGCTTTTTGTGGTAAAAGCTTCGGTCCCACCATGATCTCCTCTGACTTTCAATTGGGAATTCTTAACAGATAATATAATATATCCAATTTTATCCGAATTGGAACCAGTGGGAAAGAATGCAAGAGTCGAATTCGAACCAGGGCATCGCAGCAATTGAAGGGAGTTATATGCAAGAAGTGTTTCAGGGTTTGAATATGATGAGGAGAGTTGTGAGGCAATAGAAGTGGTTGTGGAAGGAAGGATAGATGATGATTTATGGAGGAATCTAGGGAGGGAGAGATTAGAGACAGGTGGAGGGATGTGAGGAACAGAAGGTGAAGTGAAGAGATGATTGTGGGTTTGTGATTTGGGAGAGGGGTTAAAGATCAAAGGCCCAATTTTTTTGACACCATCAGTTGTGGTGGCAGGTGAGAGGAGAAGGGGTGGTGAGTGTACAGAAGAGATTGGCCACAAGGATTTCCATTCCTCTGAGGTGTTCATCATCTCACAATCATTCACCCACTAAAGAAGGTGGTGATTGTGGAGGCAACTGTGGTGTAGTGGTGGTTCTGGAGACGAAGAAGTCTGAAAAGTAACAGGGAAACCAGGGGGTTAATAGATAAAAAAAACTTTAATTACTGCATACTTAAGTAATACAATCAATTCTAATTATAAGCATTGTTGATGATCTGGGTGGGTGGAAATTTAACATTGTTGGTGTCCATAACCTAAATTACATTCAAGGTATCATATAAGCATCATAAGAACATCATTCAAAACAACAGGAGGCATGTCCAGGCTTGACAATAACAGAATTGAACAGAAAATTCGGGTGCTACTGTTACAGGTTTAACATCTAGGTTCAATTGCTAATTGAAGCACAAACACATACACAATTGGACTTTTTCGATCAAACAGACAAAGCTGGACAGGTTTAACATCTCGGTATTTCATTCAAAATCAAATCCAATTTCACATTCAAAGATAAACTACTTTCATTACAAATGTTTCTATTTTACAGCTCTTTTATGAGTTATGCATCAATTGACATAAACTCAGAACTATAGCTTCAATGCAACGGATAAGAAGGGAATAACAGAAAGCAGGGAGAAGAAGGAAGACTGACAGCAGGAAAAAAAAAACCGAACCTGTAGCTGTGAGGTCGAAGTCTCCGGTGTAGCTGTGGGGCGCGACGGTCTACGGCCGGTGGCTTCACAGGGGAGGCGCTGGTTAACGGCTGCAAGCAGGGGAGGACTCGTCGCTTGAGGAGCCAACGATCGAGAGAAGCCGCACAATGGAGGCGTCTGTGTTTGTGTCGCTGTGTATAATGTGTATAAGGGTGGAGGGCTTCCCTCTCAACATGAATAAAATGTCTGCTTATATGAATTTAGTTTTAAATATATTGGTCTACTTTAAAAAGAATATGATCTATATAGACTAAAAGTGATGGAACCTACAAATTGAGAAAATATTTTTCTATGTTGAGAATATGTTCGGATTTTGAATTGTTTTGATGAAATGAGATGACAAAATAAGTAAGAGAAAAATAAAACAACTAAATGTTCTATTCCTTGGATTTCAAAAATTAAAAATCAATATTGTTAAGATCGGACCTACTTAAGATCGTTTCGCGCTTTGCAGATTATGATCGTAAGATATAATCGAGATCTGAAGATATTACCAAAATGAACTAGTTTTCAAATTTGATCACAATTTTTTTTGGTACAATACCAATTATAACTTGATTTTTATTAATACATCGATATTAGAATTAATGTAACGTCCCAAAAATTCAAGTCAAAATTTTCCTTTAAAAATGTAAGTAAACCACTCCAAATGTTTTTATAAAAAGATTAAGTAATAAATTGTTTCAAAACATCATCATGTCATAATACCAAAACGTATCAAATTGTCAAAACAACGGAAGTCTATAATAAATCAGTAGCAATGCACGTGCCATACAGTCAAACTAGAGCTTTCTCCCGATCAGAGGAACTACCTGAAAAACATTTAATCAACAACCGTAAGCGTAATGCTTAGTGAGTTCTTCGAAATACCATATCCCATAATACGCACACAATGCCTACACACAAGGCTATCAGCTCTAGTGTCGATCCACCATACAAGCAAAGGCTCTCAGCTCCAGTAACGATCCACTCAGTCAATGGATCTCGACTCCAGTGTCGATCCACCATCAACCTTGGATATCTAGGCTCTCAACTCCAGTGTTGGTCCATCATCAACCTTGCATCTAGGCTCTCAGCTCGAGCGTTGATCCACTATCAACCCCTCAACATAATATGTCGACATATCATACAATCAAACAGTCAAACCAATCACATTGTAACGCCTGGTTCCTAGTATGTATTTAATTAAAATTGATTCGTTTTTGTATAGAAACTCGACGAGTTGGAGGCCCCAAACTCGTCGAGTAAGGATGGAAATTGGACGCAGGATGGGAAGTCTACTCGACGAGTTGAGAGCCTCAACTCGACGAGTAGGACTGGCAGAATGAAACCCTAATTTTCAGGGTTTTGCACCCTATTTAAACACCTTAACCTCCAAATGTTGGCCTCATTTACAGCCTCCATTGTCCCAAACCCTAGCCACGAAACCCTAATCCACTTTTGAGAGTTTTGAGTCATTTTTTAGAGAAATCTTGGGTATGTGAAGCTTGTGGAAGAAGGAGAAGCTTGAGGACTCAAGAAGGAGGTTATAGATCCAGCAACTTCACTTCATTCTCAGCATTTTGTGGTAAGCAAGTCTCAAACTTGCTTAATGATTACTTTGATCTCTATCTTATCACTTTTATTGGGTTTTTTGGTCCAACTAGCATGATCCTTGGGAAATGGACGTCCCAAGTGAGTATACTTTCAGATCTGGAGTCTTGAAGGGCTTTCATGGCATACATGTGCAAACTTTATGGCCATCGAAGCCCCATGCAAGCTTTAGAGTATCATTTTGGCCTTTTAAGCTCTAAAAGGCCATGCATGGAGAGAAAGTCAGAGACTTTACGTGTTCATGTAATGTCTAGGGTCTAGATCTCAGTTTGTATGCCTTAGTTTGAAGTATTAATGGCTTTTGGATCAAGATCTAGGTCTTAAAGAGTTAGGGTGTCACACCCTGATCCTTGTCGGAATCGATCAAGGCGTGATATATTGTTCAAAGTCTCATGACAACTAGGTTATAATGTGATTAGATTCAATTAAGTACTAAGTATGCAAACAAGATCCACAACATACAAGTACAAATACAAATGCAAACCACATTTATTACATCAAATTTAAATTGTCTTGTGGATTTCTAAGGCACAACCTATTTTTCATCATTCTTCATTCTTCAAATCTGCATCATGGGTAAAAACAGGTCAACTACGAGAGTTGGTGAGTAATCAAATTTTAGTAGAGAAAATTGTGAAGTTGAAACATTTATAATTTGAAATCTGTTTTCTTTTGAAGTCGCCAAACAATTGTACTTGAGATAACGGTTTATAAATCAAAAATTGATTAACAATTGATAACAACAACAATAAGTCCTCACCCTATATATATACATATGTATATATATAAATATATATAGGATGGAGCATCTAATCATCATACACACTCAACCACATGTGATCAATCACCTTAGCGTCCCAAGGCGGGGTGGTCAACCCAATAGCGCTATTATTGTCCATAACGTACCTCAAGAATACGGGCATAGTCATGGAGATTAGACTAAAAATGATAATGCACTACAAGTACATGTAGCGTAAACAAACAATAGTTATACAATTAATGACTCACGTATAAATGTCCCAACAATGTCTCAATTGTGATAAAACAATAGGAACATATTAGAACCACATGATACACCCCAAAAGTATTGAAAATTATAAAGTATGGGGTAGATTACTCACATTAGTCCCAAAACGAAATGCGTGTGTCGTACGATAGACGATTCGGGTCAAAATGGCGTAGAACCTAATATAATTAATAGTTTTGGTTTAGGAACTGCTAAACGAGAATGGAGTATTAATACAAATAATTAGACACATATTCTTATATTAGATGAATTAACAATAATTCATTTTGATTATAATAATTAAGGTATTTATTTGTTAAATGAATTTTAAATTGAATTACTTACTTTGCATAATTAATTTATATTTTCAATTTAGGCCAGATTTTAATAATTTCTTATTAAAATAATAACTTGCCCAATTATAATTATTTACAGATTTTAACAATTATTTATATGAAATAATCATTAAAATGCATTTTTACATGCTTAAATACTTAGGAAAATAGTTTTAAATAGTAAACAGTATTGAAAAATTATGAAATTATTAGGAAATCATTATTTCATACAATATGAATTACTGTAAAATTTGTATATTTTTCTGAACTGTTTTAGTATTTATTTAATATTTTAATGATTAAACAACACAAAATTCGGGAAAAATAGTAAATGATTCTCAAAAAATCTGTAAAATTAACCATAGTTTTATAACATGATGTAGAGCCCAGTGTATAAGTTTCAGATATTTGTGACTATGGGAAGTATTTTTTATATATTTCATTATTAATTAATCAATAAAATCATAAATAATAGTAAACAGTAATATAAATGCATGAAACTTCATATATCATGTTTAATCAGTATACAGGTCATCCCAGAATTTTCTCAGAATTTATTGAATGCAACAAGTATTTTATGTGAATTATTGCCCTACTTTATTGCAATAATTATGATAATTCAATAAAAATAAGTTATTTTCTGAAAATTTCCAGAACTTCTTATTTTATTGATGGTATTCTGAGAAAAATCAGGTTTATGAAAAAAATGAGTTTTAGATATTTTGGTGGATTTAATTTGTTTCTTGTATGAATTTGAAACTTTTACAACATACCTTGATGAATGCTTCAAGAGGGATGAAGATTTGAGTATAATAGATTGTTCTTGGATGGAATATGAGTATTCTTGGAGGAAATTTCGAGATTGAGAGTGAGAGAAAGAATAGAGAAGATTTAAGTGGTGAAGAGAATAATGTGTGGGAGAAAAAGGAAAGGAAAGTGGATGGGAGGTGTGAGTGGGAGACCATGGGAATAATCTTTTTGCTTTTGGTGGTCTTCATAATTTCCCACTAACACAAGCATCTTTTACATAATTAATATAAGAGTTTTATAAAATTTAAAGTAAAGTTATAAAAAAATAGAGTTTTATAAAATTTAATGTAAAGTTTATAAAAATGGAGTTTTATAAAAGATAGGTTATTATTTGATTATAACAATCTACTTTGATTTGAAGTTTAATTAGAGAATTCAAGTTTGATTCTTTTAATTTAATTAGAGCATTATACTTTGATTTGATTTTAATATGGTATCATAATTTACTTTGATTATAGTTATAACGTTGTACAATACTATGTTGCTATTAACGTCAAGTTATATCGTATTGTATGGGTTTTGATCCTATTAGCGTCAAGTAATCTTGAGTAGGGTTTATTAAATTTCCAATTG